GAACCTTGTGAAATGTCCATTGCTAAACCCTAAACCCTTGATCTTACTGCCACACTCTAGAATGTGTCCTATAGACAGTCCTTAACTCTTTTGAACCTTCCATTTACCCTAAACTCTATCCTCACCAACCCATCCTCTATGTCTATGTGGTTCCCTTAAACCCTAACCTCATCCTAACTGTCTGGAACGTGTCCTCTCCAAATGAAGGATAAATTATTATTCTTTATGATTGCAACTGCTCCTTGCCCCAAGATATTCTGATTAAACCGTTTCATTATCTCTTCCTCTTGTCCCGGATGGAGTCGTACTTGTTTCCTTACTACTTTCCATTGTGCTCTAAAATTTGTTTCAACCAACGTGAGAAATATCTCCCTTGCTTCCTGTATGTGCATTGGCCTATCTTCAAAAGTAACTTGGCACCTGCGTTTCCAGATAGTCCAGAGACTATACTGTCACACTAATTTAAAAAGATGCTTCTCAAAGTTCTGCCATAGATTCGGGATGTTGAGTCCCAACATAAGGGAGATTTTAGACTCAGGAAAAGAAGACCTTGTAATCTGTCCCCATATGTTCCTCACTTCCCCCCAAAACTTACCTGCTTCCTCACATTCTATGAGGCAATGCAGCATTGTTTCCGGATCCCCCGATCTACATACCAGGCATGCAGCACTGTCCGCGCTCCTCTGACCCAAACTTCTACGCTCATCCAACCAAGCATTGACCGGAAGTGCCACGTGAGCTATCAACCACTGCATACTTCTAACCGACCCCAACCGTATAGCTGTAATACTTGACCAAGGTATTTTGGTTAACTGATTACGTGGAATGTCTATTCTCTTTTCCCATCTCTTTGTCAATAAAGGCGCGAGCGTATGTGTCCTATTCCAACGGCAAGTCAAACAAAATTATATCAACAGACTCACGCTTCCTTCCGTCGGGCCGAAGGATCCCGGATCAGCATTGATTGCTCCAGTAGTATGGAGGATTGACTGTCAGCTTGCCTTGCGTCCACCTTTCCTCTCAGGTCTATCTAACTAGGACCTGTCATAATTATCTCGAAGCACAAGAAAGGGACAAGCAAAGGGACAGACAGTGTTCACATTTTTCCGCACTTGTAGGTTCACAGCCATATGCTATGATACTTGTGTGGCCTGTGATGGAGCTTGCTGGATTCCTCTGTCTTCTCAGGCCCACTTCTGAATTGTGCCAGTCCTTCCAACATATGCGGAAGTCCTTTATTTCTGCTACCTTGCTGCCTGCCAGCCGTATCTTTGTAAATTTCTTCACTGTTCTCTGCTGCTGGTCCGCCTCATCCGTCATGGATTGTCTTGTCTTCTGCCGCTTGCACAAAATCTCTGCCTGAATTACCGTCCTTGTCTCCGCCTACACTTTCTCCCTTGGTGTTGATATCCCTTCGATGGTTCTGCTGCACCTTTCCTTCCATATATATAGACCAGAGTGTTACTTTTCTCAGTTTTCTGATCATCCCAAACCACCATATCTTTTCGGACTTCTGGAACTGAAGCTGGAATGTTAGTCCAGAGGAGGAGGAGTTGGATGGGGTGTTCGGGGAGGGGAGTCGGGAAAAGGGAAGCCCAGAGGTCTGATGCCCTGGCCCAATACTCCATCGCTTCTCTGCACCTTGTTAAACAGTGTATCATGTTTTCACAACTTTTCAGGTTCATTTTCTGAGCATACTACGCATAGGTCAGAGCTATTGGGGTCATTGTGTCGTCTTCCGATATGCAGCCATTGGTTGACAGGTAACGCTATGTATGAGATAAGCCATTGGAGGCTTCTGATTTTGACCGGTCGGATTGATTTGAAGTTAGACCTTCTTCCGCGGTATCTGGGATATCTGGGTGGCTTCCTGACCAATCAATTTCATCCATCTATTTTCGATTGTGGGGTTCGGATCCTTGGTTTTATTTAGGAGATTGTAATGTATGTTAACTGTATAATCATGGACGAGTATATTGGTTCTTAGGTTCTTGCTTCTTCCTGGTGTCCAGGCCCATTCCGCTGGGTCGAATTCCAAGTCCTGAATTGCCGTATCCATTCTGAAGATTGTTTTTGGCCATGGCCCCCAGTACTCTTACTTTCCTGAGCACAAAGTTGTTTAGAACTGTTCTTTCTACCCCATCATTCAGAATGGATGAAAGCCCTTGAGTCGAATGAATGATTGGAAAAGAGGTGAACACAGCCAGTACCAAGAGTGTCCGAACCCTGCTGTCTATGGGAGAATTGGTATGCCCTCGAAGGAGATGATTTCTGTACCAAGACCCCCGACTCTCCTGGTTTCCATGTTGAGGCTTCTTCGCTCAGTAACTCTTCCCTTCCACCTGGAATGCAGCGTACGTGACCATTTGCAGGTTCTCATCCCGTCGGCGACATCCCTTGAGCCGACAGGCGAGTTCCTGCTCTGTCACCCGGTCTGTTTTGTCCTCATTCCATATGTGACAGACTTTCCAAACTCCATGCCTTATCCAAGACAGTCATCTCCTTCCTCTAGGTTTACGGGTTACAGGGTGGTCAGTTGCGCCGTTCACCCAAGGATTACCGAACAGGGGTTGTCTCAACACCTTTTCTTTGGACTTGGGTCTGCCCACTTTTTTCGGCATGATTTCCCACCATATCCGTAGCAGGGCGGTCCAGTAGGGTGTGGGTGGTCTATCTTCATTTTCCCCACTCCCTCTTCGTCTGTTCCTTCGGCCTGTTTTTGGCCATTTGCAGGTTCTCATCCCGTCGGTGACATCCCTTGAGCCGACAGGCGAGTTCCTGTTCTGTCACCCAGTCTTTTTTCTCCTCATCCCATATGTGGCATACTTTCCAAATTCCATGCCTTATCCATGACAGCCATCTCCCTCCTCTAGGTTTAAGGGTAAAAGGGTGGTCACTCGCGTCCGCTAGTTTGGTTTCTCTCTGCGTCCTATCCTAATCTTTACACCCTGTAGTCTTAGGCCCTGGTATCACTTTATTTCCTAGCCTGCTATACTTGGTAAAAAACCTCCTGTTACCCTAGCTCCTTGGGTAGCTGTGGAATGAAGCCAACTTTGATCAAAACTGCGAGGTGTGTTTCCTACCCTGGTAGTTGGATAAGGTGGATGTATGCGGATAAAAAATGGTGGGTGAGAGGGGGCATCGTACTAAGTTCTGATACGACTGGTGCCACCAGGCAAAGTGGTCAGGGGGCTGGTTCACTGCTGGGAGGTATACTGCTCTGGTTCAATGTGGCACAGCCCCTAACAGTATATTCTATTCATCCGATTCCATGTGATATCAGGATTTGAACTCATGATCTCTGTACTAGCAGCCACATGTGTATGAACCATTCAGCTACGAGTGGGCTGGGTACATCCTAGCTGACTTTTTTTTTTTTTTTCCCCCATTGTTCTGTGGATATTGCTCCAGGTTTTGAATGGCCGAATAGAGTGTTTGTATCATGGTTGGCAGTTTGAGGGAGAGAGTGGGAAATGCGTTCACATTCCGCAGCTGGCACAAGGGGCGGCGATCCCACGAGCAGCTTGCTTGAAGGTATACCCAGTTGTTGAGAAGGCGGGGTATATATTAGTCTACCTGACACCCATGGCAGATTTGCTTGGTGGCAAGGAGAAGAGTGAAAGCAAAGGGGGGGGGGATGCATCTTCATCAGGCAGCGAAGACCTACTGGAGAAAGCGCTTCAAAAGGTGCCTGATTGGCTGCAGCCGGCATCGCTAATGGTGCACGATGACCTTCCTTACGATCACTCTTTTCTTCTCGAGAACATTCTTGATCCTGCTCATGTCCAAATCTCACACCATGCAACACCTGGAGGGGGAAATCGAGATAGCGCCCGCCCATTGCTCATGCGGGTTATTGAACGATCTGATCGGGGATTTAAGGGCTTCTATCCGCATCAGAATAGGAGGCAGCCGGACAAGCCTTTGGTCTGTGAGATGGAGTTTGTTGCACCGTGCCATGTGATCACCACTTTCCGATCCTCAGCCGCAGAAGGGGATGTCGAAAAGGGCGACAGCAACATATTGCAGCTAGTTCTCATCTCCTGTACTCCCCTGGGTATTGGTAAATCCAGACTTTTCTTCACAACAACTCGGTCAAATTTTCTACTACAGACCTTGCCTAGGTGGTTTTTTCATCTAAATTCATTGATGATCCTAGAGCAAGATATGGGTCTGGTGCAAACTCAAGAGACCTATGTGCGTGCACTTCTGAAAGACAGGCCATTAAGCCGGGTTTACCTTCCATTACAGACCTCCGATCTCTATGTCGTAGAATATCGGAAGTGGCTCGATAAGGTTGGCCATGGATTGCCCTATTATGAAGGTTATCGAACCGCCAAGCTTGCCGATGAAGTGTCACCAGCAGTCCATAACAAGCAGATGCCAAGCAATTTACCGCAAGCAATGGCAGCCTCGAGCGCGGTGCAGGGGAACACAGGGTCCATCCATTCTCCCAGTCTAACTAATAGGTACTGGCGGCATGTCGTCAATTGCTCGTCTTGCTTAAGGGCACTCAAGAATTTTCGAAAGCTGCGGAATGTCTGTGTAATTCTTTCTGTGTTGACTGGTGTGCTTGCACTTGCCCTCGGGCCTGCAAAGCAGCGAGCAATTGTAGCACTTCTTTGTGCATTCATGATCTCTGCTGCATATGCCGTACAGACTCAGCTTATTGCACGGTTTCAGACAAATTGGCTACGGCCTCACAAGCGATGAACTGAGTGTTGGTAACTGCGATGAAATGAGATTCCAGTGACTGCACTTAACTGGGGAGCTTGAGGAGTGACTTGGTATACACTGTTGTAACTCGGGAGTTTTCGAGGAGTGACCTCGTATACACTGCAGTAACTGCATGGTTATTGCAGTTACTGGGAGTTTGAGGAGTGACCTTGTCTACACTGCAGTAACTGCAGGGTTATTGCAGTTACTCGAGAGTTTGAGGAGTGACCTAATATACACCGCAGTAACTGGGGAGTTTGAGGAGTGACCATACGTATACACTGCAGTAACTGCACAGTTACTGCAGTCACCATGTAGTTTGAGGAATGACCTCGTATACACCGCAGTAACTGCACGGTTATTACACTTACTGCCAGTTACTGGGGAGTTTGAGGAGTGCCCTAGTATACACTGCAGTAACTGGGGAGTTTGATGAGTGACCTCGTGTGCACTGCAGTAACTTCATGGTTATTGCAGTTACTGGGAGTTTGAGGAGTGACCTTGTATACAGTGCAGTAACCGCAGGGTTATTGCAGTTACTCGAGAGTTCGAGGAGTGACCGAATATAGACTGCAATAACTGGGGAGTTTGAGGAGTGACCATACGTATACACTGCAGTTACTGCAGTTACTGGGCAGTTTGAGGAATGACCTCGTATACACCGCAGTAACTGCACGGTTATTACACTTACTGGGGAGTTTGAGGAGTGCCCTAGTATACACTGCAGTAACTGGGTAGTTTGAGGAGTGACCTCGTATGCACTGCAGTAACTGCACGGTCAGTACACTTACTGGGGATTTTTGAGGAGTGACCTAGTATGCTATACACTGCAGTATCTGGAGAGAAATGAAAAATGCCCAAAAGCCAACTCACAAAGCTGTGTCAGAAGTTCAAACTTCGAACTGCACGGTTATTGCAGTTACGGGGCAGTTTGAGGAGTGACCTGGTATACACTGCAGTAACTGCACAGTTATTGCAAATTAAACTCGCACTATAAGACAATGGAGATTCACCAAAAAAAAAAAAAAAAAAAAAAAAAAGGGCACAGGCAGGCTATGAGTTCTTATTTGAAATMCARGWAAWWRAAMCCTTTTTTTTTTTTCTTTTTTTTTTTTTAATCCGGGCCCAGTGCCCAAGTCTGATATTACCAATAAGAAGATTGAGGCCGGGGTCCTCACAGTCTGCCCGGAGTAACCGAACCGAACTTGCTGAGAACCGGGCCCAGCGTCCCTCATATGGTGATGATAATGATCATGATGATGATAATGATCTTAGAACAACTCCTAGCCCTCCCTATACCAGGACATTGTAACTCAGAGACAGTACCAACCTAACCAACGTCTACCATGGCTGTTCTCTTCTCGCTCCCTTGCAGCTACCCCCGGTTCGCCACTGGATGGCCTTCCTCCCTCAGCAAACCCCAGACCTCTCTACAAGGCCTCACACTCATCAATTAATGTGTCCAGTGACTCCAGCATGTTTTGAGTTCGCAACTCGGCAATGGTTAATGCCGAAGCGTTTTCCAGACAATTTGAAAATATATGTATCAAACCGATGAAGGACGAAGAGAGAACAAGAAGGAAAAGGAGAGAAGAGAAGAGAGAAGAGGAGAAAAGAAGAAAAGGGAGGGAGCCGAGAGCACGGACTGAAAGAGCATGGCAGATAGAGAAAGGAGTAAAAGCCCATCCCAAATTTTCCCAAAACGCGACCGTATGGCCGGAAGATAATAGTGAAATGCCAAATGCATCGAAAAAGTTTGTGAAAACCAGGCGCAGCGACCCAACGCTGCGTTTCATCCGGCCGCCAACCAGAATCATCAGGGGTCTCTAGGTCGCTAGGAAAAGGGATCGAGCAAATGGGAGTTACTCATTAAGTACTATTCAGTGAACCGAAAGTCTGGACTAGACAAAGGAGAAGGCCAGAAGGAGGTTCCAAGGGCAAGAGTCAGCAAGTTCACAGAAAAAAGAGAGGAAGAAAAAGGGCCAGGAAGAGAGACGGATTCATAAGGAAAAAGGCCGGAGAGGAGAGCAGATTCATAGAAAAAGGAAAGAAGCAGATTCAGACCGAGCCAAAGACGATTCCTCTGAAAGTAACGGCCCGCCTCGGCAATGGACTATTGGATTTGTGTGCAAGTAAGTAAAATAACTGCAAATTGAATGTGCTTGTTGTTGCAATGAGAACTGTTATGTGTCCAAAACAGAAGAAGAAGGAAAAAGAAGCACCATGCCTCCCATCAGCATTATATGGTACATAAATAATATAATATATCAAGGAAGGCGCACTGCCCATCGACTACGTTATCCATTTATGCAAGGAATTTGCGTTTGAAGGGAGGAATCGGAATGAAGTATAGCTTTCATTAGGTTCATCTAGGATTCGAGGGAAACAAGTCTCTGTAGCGTGGCCTCTTACATAATACTAAGACGATGTCTAGGGTTTTTTCTCCACACATCTGTAAATGCTATTCCTGCAATGGTAGAGGTCCTCCCTCTGCGGTTTCCACTACTTTGCCCTCCTGTCTTCTGCAACAAGAATTAACAGCTATGGCCGGCCCATCATTAAGCATATACAAAGTTGTCTCTTCCCTCTCTTCCATGTTCACATGGCCCAGCCGTCTCCTTGACATCACCGTGAAGACGGCCATGAGGCTGATCTCAGACTGGCTCCAGTAGACACTGTATGGAAAAGGTAACTCTACTTTGGTGGTCCCCTTTTTATATAACATCCCCACGCGAGCTACGGACTGGATTGCATACAGTTTAATATCAAAGTAAATCCGCGATATAGAGGGCAGTGCCTCATAGTGTAGTCCGGTTCCAATTTGGCTAGATTTAAAAGAGACCCAAATTTTAAGTCAATCCGATCTTTGGCTAGTGGCGCAGTTAATGTGTTGAATTGCCAATTGAACATAACAAGGCGTAGCGCAGTCGTGTGGTAGCGCAACAATAAGCGAGAAGAAAAGAAGGAAGAAAGGAAAGCAAGCAAAAGGAAAGAAAACAAGAAAGGTCAGCAGCCTAGCTCAGTTAGCAAGGCACGCAAGTGGCATTCAGGAGGTCCTGGGTTCATTAAAGTCACATTTCCAATTGGCATCATGTACGTACCTGGGCATACTTGGTGCCCACCATCTCAAGGTAGCCCGTTTGCCCCACAAAAATCACCATTGAGCAGCCACTGCTGATGTTTGTAGGGGGAGGGGAATGGAGAGGAGGCACAGTGACTGGCCGCTCGTATCACCCTCGGTCCTAATGCCACCGGCTGGCCCCCGGCTGATATCGCCCACTTGCTGGCTGGGTGCAGCCTCTGCATGTTCTCTTGTGAACATCGTTGTGGCTGCTACCAGGTTCCACGTAGAGCTAAAATAATGCAGCAAAGCGGAAGCGGCACCCGTCTGTCACCCAACGCTAAGAAAATTGCAGAAGTTGGAATCTGGCCTCAGTGACGTGAACGAGAGTCACATCCGATGTGAGCTACTGGACCGGACCGCCCAAAACAACATCATAGCTTTAGCATGAACCTGGACGTCTTTGTTCAAACGTGTGGACCGGGGACCTAACAAGTAGCCCCAATTCAGGTGGTGGTGGATCAGAGGGCCTGTCACCCATTGGTTAGGGTGGTAAGCCCTCTAGGGTGAGGTGTCTTGGCATGGGCTACAGCACTTTTAAAAGCGGCCCAGTCTACCGTCTACCGTCCTTACTCAAGTAGAACATTGGGCACTGTAGCTGTATTTTGTGCAACTTTCAGCCTAGATGCAGCAATAATGAGGGCATTCTGTTCGGGTGAAGACCGTAGTCAAAAGTATTAATACCGGGACCACTGAGTTTGGTGTTAGGTTTCATGCCTGAGCAGCACCGCGCAGGTGCTGGGTTTTATTCCCATTGCCTTCACTTTCAGTGGCCTGAGGAGGATTGGTGGCCACGGCTCGTCAACACTGGCAACTCAGTGGGGCGAGTTGTGCCGCCCTGTAACCCATAGCAATGTGGGAGCACTGGGCCAATTGGAAGTGGCTGCTCAGGTCCCGCTGCGGCCAGTCAGGACACATCCAATACACATCCAATAGAAAGAGCTCTCAGGTTCAGTTCTCGGTCAGTAGACTCGGTACCATTCATCATGGCTCAGTTTCCATGAAATTGAGGGTCTCAATCTGAGACCCTCAATTTCATGATGCTTCCAGAGGCTTAAATCACTAGTACCTTTGCCGTCCGGTTTCGACAAGTTTTGGTCTAGTCCCGAACTTTTAGGAGGCCAGGCCCGACAACGGCTGCCGTTGATAAATCTGATCGGAGGCCGTCGTTTCTTTTCGGCCTCCTGAAAGTTCGGAGGCCCACTATTTTCCGAACCGACAAAGGTTCTAGTGGTTTAAAAACTGTCAACATACCTGTCACAACATAAGCTCAATAAGGAAGTTCAATAAGTCATGATCATGACATATAATCTACGGTAACTTCCATAATAATCTTGAAATACCTGGGGCCACCCTTTTTTTGTTTGTTTGTTTGTTTGTTTGTTTTGAAAAGGTGTTGGTTTGGTCATAGCGTCACTTGGGATGTAGGATCTGGTAGAAGTAAGCTTAGATTTTTTTTTTTTTTTTTTTTTTTTTTTTCCACTAGTACCTTTGGCGCGTGGTGCCCCCCAGTGGCTTCCTTCGGTACCCTGCCACTGGGGGTCTACCTTCCTCAATGTATGGCGTGGCGCAGGGTACCGAAGGGAGCCACTGGGGGGCACCAGTGGTTCTTCCCTTCGTCTCCTCACCCGCCCCTCTATCTATTCCCAGCCATCCCCATTATCCTTACGAAAAGACGGGGTTTGTTAACTCCGAAGGACATGGGTCCATACTATCATATTCTAATATCAAGGGCCAAAGGGTGTGGAGGAAAGGGGTCCGGAAAGTCTTCTGCTGGTCTCATGGGAGTTTCTGGGCCGATCTCCATCCAGTTCTTAAAAAGGAGGCGGTGTCGCGGGGGGGGTTCCTTTCCATGCTGTCCTCATGAAGCTCCCTGTCTGCTAACTCACCCTCTAGCCATCGCACCTCTGCCACCCATCCCCCTTGTTCCCCACCTAGCCAATCCTTGGAAAACCTTGTAATTTGTTCTCTAATGTCTTTTTTTCTGTGAAGGGAATCAAGAATCCTTTTGGTTTCTTCCCACTGACGAGAAAGTCCTAATTGAAAGTGTTGTTTGAAATGTTCCTGCCATTCCTCTCCTTCCACTCTCACATGATCAAGGACCAAGGTGCAACGTTGCCACCATAGGATCCAGAGCACGACCCATCTGCCAAGGTGAAACATGTTCCTTACAAAGGTGTCGCTTTGGATTGCCGGACAGTGTCCAAGTAAGAGAGCTCTCTAGTCCCATGGCCACGGAACTCCGGGGACCATTTGTCTCCAAATCCTGTCCCACCACCTCCATGTAAGTGTTGCTGCTGGGAATTGAAGGAAAATGTGTTCGATTGTCTCCGCTCTTTTCCGTGAGGGGAAATTTCCGGTGCAGCGCAAGCACCACGGGAGGACCTTGCCCTGTTGTTTCAAATGTGAGTGGTCAATCAGCAAATTATTTGTCGGTAGGCAGCGGTGTATTATCTGCCACTGGAGTGATGTGATCTTGGCCGGTTTGGTTTTGCAATTGTGGAACCAACGTATGGGGGTCAGGAGTTGTCTGTCTATGTTCAGGTGTCTTTGCCAAGTGTCGACCACTATATCCTTTAGATTCCGTCGCGGTCTTAGAAGTTGTTCATGAATCTTCATAGTTTCCCCTCTGATTTTTTTTTTCTCAACCGAAGCCAGGTAATGGTTTTGGTACTCTCCAAAGTATCATCAAATGCTTTATGTAATCTCATAACGGACGTTGGGCCCGGTTCCCAGCAGAACGTGCTGCTCCCCACGAATGGATTAAAGGGGTGGGCGGGGAAAGATGACTCCGAAGGTCGAATAGTCCGTGCACTATTTTCCTTTCCTTGTTTCCTCACTAGGTGTTCGTATGCCTATTTATTGTTGCTTCTCTTTTTTTTTCTTTTTTTTTGTATGTCCACTGTCCTTTGGACCATTCATCAATTTACTGCTGCATTGCCAAAGAGAAGGCCGAGGGACCACTGAAGTGACAACGGGTAGGCCGAGAGGTTGCCGAAGTAACAGTGAGGGGGCGCCCGATCAGGTTGAGGAAGCGCAGGACCAAATTCAAAGGGTCCACCAACAGGGGATGGAAAATTGCTAGGTGACACCAAGTTAGGTAGGCTCAACCCGCAATTTTGCAAAAGGTTAACAGACTCAGTGGAACGAAACAGGCAGGAAACATACTTGTGACGAACCACTTTCTGTGTCGCGCGACTTTCTGCGTGATGACAATGAGGGGTCCTGAGATGGGAGGGTTGGGCAAATTACGGGAGGTGGGATCGGTGGGTAAATTGCGTCGGTGTCCTCGTTTCTTTCTTTTCCTTCGCTTCGCTTCTTCCCCTTCGGCAGTGATGGGACAGGCCCAGGGCAGACGGTTGAGTATGTGCGCCCCGCTGGGCGCAATCAATAACGGTTGGCGATGGCTCTTTCTTGCTCTGCTGAGAGAAAAAGGGGGGAACTGAGATTTTTGGCGCGATGATCGCGCGGGAGCTTTCCGGTTTTCTTTTTAAATTTTTCTTTCAACTAAGAACGAGCCCCCGAGGGCTCTCGGAATTTCAATTTCTTTTTGTTTTTCTTCCGTCTCGTCG